GCTGCTATAAACATTCGAGTGCAGGTGTCTTTTTCATAAAGTGACTTTTCATCTTTTGGGTAGATGCCCAGTAGTGGAATTGCTGGATCAAATGGTAGATCTACTTGTATCGCTTTGAGGTCTTTTGTATGGTGAATAATTCAGCCTACACAAAGGGAGAGTGAAAAACTAAGGCCATTTAACACATTGGTATGCCACAAATGAGAAATCCCTCCTCAGTTACACAAATGTCTTAAGTCCCATCCATGAAAACTTTCATGAATTGTTAAAGAAAAGTAATGCAGCAGCTGCTTTCAGTGGCCCACCCAGAGATCCTTGGCACCTCACCACTCTCAGTCACACTGCTGGCTTCTTACTTTAAGCACCTGCAAGCTTCAAAGTGACTCCTTTCTCTGGCTAAGGGAACTGCTTGGTTTTTGTGCAGGTCAGGGCAGAGGTGACATCCTCAGGAGCAGTGGTTTGCTAGAGCTACGTATACTAGTGCGAAAGTGCTGATGGTTAAATTTTCAAGAATGTTGCAAACTGATTGCTAAACACAGCTATTATTAAAAACTAAATTATATAAACTTAAAAATCAAATAATGTTTATGTTTTATTTATGTCTGCAGGGTAGAGATTCCATATAATGGCAAGCTACTGTATATCTATCTCTTCCCAACTCCACTCTCAACAATGTCATGTTAGAGTTTGAAACTGGCCATGGTGAGAGTATTTCCACCAAGGAAATCAAGGTTATTTGTTCAGAGAGCTGATTGTTAAACAGTTACCCCTGCCCAAAACTCAAGAAAAAAAATGGGAGTTAGTAGATAAATACCTAAGCTTCCTTATCATTTTGGTTGGGGCAAATCAAAGGTGTATTCTATACTGTTTCCTAGAGGTCTCTCAAGAAGGATTGAATCACAGATGCTCACAGTGGTACCAAATACAATAATGAAGGAGGGAACTAACGTTGATAAAACCTCAGTGATGGTTGCCCTAAATTAGGCCTAATAATAGGAGGTATTTCTATGGTATTGGAAGCTCTAGTACCATTTGGCAATGATAGGGTTCCAGAATAGCAGAGTCCAGGTGCCAGTATTTAACCATCAGAGTCAACGAGGAAATGATTACCATAATACAAACAAGGCCAAAATGGCAACCACCAGGCTTGACATGTAGAAATCTATTTTAATGGGTATTAGAACACAGGGTGGGAAAACTGGGTATCCAATGAGACAGTTGCTCTCTCTCTCTGTGTGTGTGTGTGTGTGTGTGTGTGTGTGTGTGTGTGTGTGTGTGTGCAGCTGAACAGAAAGCAAATATAAGCCCTAACCCACTTTCCAAACCTAAATCAGTTCTCAGACTCAATTGTAAGGGATTAAAAGCAGTCTTTTGAACAAAATTTAAGGGTTCTCATGAGAAAGAAACCTATAACACCACAGCAAGAATATGCAGTACCTATACCATCAACCCTTCCTCAAAGGAATCTATGGCCATTTCAAGAGAAATTATATTGGGAAAAGGGCAATACCAAGTTATTTCAAGGACTGTTGATGTATTGATACAGTGTCTGAGCTGACCATACTCTAGGTCACTCACAGCACCACAATAACTCCCATGTTAGAGTGGGGGCATAGAGTTACCAGATGACAGATGAAGTACTAGCCCACTTTCCTTTTACAATGGGTCCAGTAGGTTACTCTGTAATTATTTTCCCAATTCCTGAGTGCAAAATCAGGGAAGATATTCTTAAGTGGTGGCAGAAGGCTAAGATTGGTTCACTGAACTATGGAGTAAGAGTCATCTTGATAAAGCTAGGCAGAAGCTCTTGAACTGCAACCTCACCACACTGAGACCAACTTAGAAAATCAGGAGCAATACCAAACCGTTTGTGGCATTTCAAATCATCCCTCAAAGACTTCAAGATATATGACTAGTGGTCCCATCATATCATTGTTTAGTTGACCACTATGGCTCCTGTGAATATGAGCTGGATCACAGTGGATAATGGTCAATAATTGAAAACTTATGTAAGTGGTGGCCCCAGTCATAGCTACAGTGCCCAAAATAGTCTTTTTATTAGAACAGATCAACACAGCCTCTAAAAATGTCAAGTGTCTGTTGATCTTGAAAATGTATTCTTTTAATTACAGCAGAAAAGAGAATAAAAGGCACTTTGTACCCACCTGGGACAGAAATGAGTGTAACTTCAGTTTATCTTCGGGGCTACATTAATTCTCTTGATTTCTGTCACACAGTCTTCTGTAGAATATCATGTTGGTCCATTTAATTGATCAAATCTCTTGAGCTGGAAGTGACAAGTAGTCCAGATGTCCTGATAAGACAAATGTGTGCCAGAACATAAGAGACAAACCACAAAGATTCAGGGGCCTGAGGTAGTGGTGAAGATTTTAGGGGTCCAAAGATTTGTGGCATGTCAAGACATGCAATCCAAGTTAATAGAAAGAGTTTTTAAATGTATTTTTAAATCTATATAGATGTTAGTTCTTTCATTCCATCTTCTTTCTCCTCTCCCTGCTCCTCCTCTTCTTCCTCCTCCTTGTCTCTCTCTCAAAATGAATTCAGATTTGACAAATTTTTTTCTATTTTAATTGTCTTTCCAAAGCACAAATTTTGTTGTCATTGATCCAATCAATTTTAATTTTTTCCCTTTTTTCCTGTTAATGTTACCAGTCCTTTCAGTTTATTACCTTTGGGTTCGTTTTTTAAATACTTTCTAGTATGATGAGCCAAATATTTGATGCATTTAATTTTAATATACCTTACATTCTCAAATTTCTTTTATAGTTCCTTTGATATCTCATGTGTATGGCATATATGGCACTAATTATAGTTTTTAAAATAATTGTAGCTTTAGTCTTGATTTTCTGTTTAAAATGAGACAGGTCTATTTTTTTTTTTTTCTGTTTCTTGGTGTTACTTCCCAGGTGGATTTGTTTTTGCAACAATTTTGTTGTTTATGATTTTATTGCATCATGGTTACAATCTGGTCAGAAAGAAGATACTCTGCAAAATTTATAAATGAATAGAAGAATTTTAAAAATGAATATAAGCATTAAAAATAAACATATGGGATTTTTCTAGGTTTTTAAATATGTAAACTAGAGATTTCCAGTCAGTGTTCACTGAGGTAACCCCAGCAATGACATTTTTATCTATAAAACTATGAATTTTGCTCTATCTAGAACTCCCTATCAATCTCCAAAACTCTTACAAAGCCTGTAGGCCATTGGAAATTGTTCTACTAGGTGATCCACATGGGTCTCCTTTCTCATCTACTTGAGAAGCAGACATATCTGACTATACCAGTTACTTCCCTCCTTCTTATCACTTCCTATTTAGTTGGCTAACATTTTTCTTCTGATATCCTAACCTCCTTTATAATGCATATGCACTTAAAATAATTGCCCCATTTCAGAAATAAAATAACTGTTTCATTCATTTTATCTATATCCAATCTGAACTCTATTAAACTCATATTATTTTTTTCTTCCTCTACACACCTAAAACATATATTGAAAACAACATATTTAGACAGGTTTAGGTGATAACTTCCTTTCATTGTGATGTGTGTGTTTCTTCCTTTCTTCATTAGGCCAAATCTTCTTAAAAACAGAGGTGTACTTTCACTACTAGTTATTTCCCCTAGTGTGAAACTTGAGTAGTACTTTATATAGAGATAGTGATCAATAAATGTTCTTAAAATTTATTAGAAAATTCACTTTTTTTCTCTGCTGTACCAGTATTCACTCATGTGAAACTAGGATTATATATTTCACTGGAGAGTTACATTGATTTTTCTTTTTAAACTTATCCTTTTAATTGTTCGAACAAATATCTGTAAAATTTTAGGAAGTATTGCTTATAAGATTTTACAAGATATTTCTCCTAACTGTGAAAATGAAAAACATAGCTAATCCATAAATACTATTTTTTAAAATTTATTAGAGCCTTCCTTGAATATATTTATATATCTAATTTATATCAGCATTCATGCTATTTCTCTTTTGTAGTATTTAGATCAAAACTTTGAGCTGATTATAAAATACATAAATATTAAAGTATTCTTTCTGTTTCCAACTCATGCAGGTACACTGAAATTCAATTCTATCATTAACCACCTGGAGTTAGTGTGGACACCACAAGTTTTTTACTCAACCTAGGCATTTATTGGCATTTGGGCTTAGATAATTCATTGTTATAGAGGCTCTCTTGTGCACTGTAGGATGTTCAGCAGAATCCATGTCCTCTACCCATTAGATGTCATTAATCCTCCACCTCACTCACAGTTTTAACAACCAAAAATATCTCTGAATGATGTCAAATGTTACCTAGGGCAAATTCATCACCCTTTCCTGTTAAGAACCATTGCTATAAACTGACTTTAATTTTCTCTTTTAAAGAAATTAATAAATATTTTTTACATCTTTTATGTTCATGTTGTTTTCTTATGTACACTTATGCACACAAAGGTATTTTACACTTATTCTTTTATGAATTATATGTACCAAAGCCTTTCCCAGGCCATATGTGTTTCTATAAAAACAACTTGCAAAGTAACTATTAAATGTTCAAAGTTTATGCTTGGATTATATACTGTCTCCCTGCCCTGTGACTACACACACTCATATACACACACACACACACACACGCGCGTCTAACATGTTAATCAAAACAATAAAAACTGGCCTTGGTGATCCTGAGGAAATTACTTAGTCATTCTGGCATAAATTGGATAATTTATTTAAAAAAACCATTGGATTAAATTATACCTACTGTCCCTTTTAACATTTTGGAATTCTATAATGCAGATAATTAAATTTTAAAATCTATGTCACATAATCTGAATTAAAATAACAATAATTTTCTGCACCCATTCTTCAAAAAAGCATGTTGAAGAGGTCACCAAGAATTTCCACGTAGAAACAGAAAAGAAGGTGTTAAGGTAAATCAATGGAGTCCCAAACAATAAGATCAAATTCTTTTTTTTTTTTCCTGGGGGTAGATATATTTATTTTTGGTAATGTACATTAAGTGGCACTAATTACACAGTAACTACAAGGCAACTAACATGAAACCACAGTACTGTAACTCTGCCACAGCTGCATGGACTTGGGCCTTTCTAGCGAGCACATTTAAAAAAAAAACTGGATGGTCAGAGCTGTGTCAATGAAATCTGTTAAGGAGTAAAGCTCTGATGTGGTGACTCAGCAGAGTACCTTGCAGCTGACAGATGATAGGCAGGGCATGTTAGTTATAAAGTAGTTACGGCCTAATTCACAAAAGTTACCAACTGTTTCTCTTTCTAGAAAGAAGCAAGAAGTTATTAAGAAATTTCTTGAATTAGCAGCTGGTGTGTCAGGTGGGAGTGCAGAAAAGGGGCGTTAGAGCAGTGTCAGAAAGGACCTTGGTGGGCCAGGCAGGTTGGACATCATTTTAATAATCATGGTTGGCTTCTAAATGCTAGTAGCAGGATGACTTCTGATTTGTAATCTTCGGTAAATTATAGATAAATGAAAGAGGCTAGTTGTCATACACTAACATTAATAAACAGCACTTAAAAATTAACCGCAGAAGGGCTGTGCTCGCAGCAAGGTTTCACAGGACTTGGCACCCAGGTTTTTTCTCTTTATGTTTGGTTAGCAGAGCAGCTCTCGTGGCCACCTCAAAAACCTCCCTCACTCCATCTTTCGTCTTTGCTGAACACTCCATGTACCCAAACGCGCCAATGCTGTTCGCCATGTCTCTGCCTTCTTCAGGTTTTACAGGCTCCTGCTTCATCTTGGCTAGCTTCTGCCTTGTGCGCGCATCATTCCGAAGATCCATCTTGTTCCCGACCAGGATGATGGGCACATTGGGGCAGAAATGCTGGACTTCTGGGGTCCACTTTTCTGGGATGTTTTTTAAACTATCAGGGTTGTTGATGGAGAAGCACATCAGTATAACATCAGTGTCCGGGTAGGAGAAGGGCCTGAGGCGCTCATAATCTTCCTGCCCAGCTGTGTCCCACAAAGCCAGTTCTACCTGCTTCCCATCCACCTCGATAACTGCCACGTAGTTCTCAAACACCGTGGGCACGTACTGCTCTGGGAACTGGTCCTTGCTGAAGACTATGAGCAAGCACGTCTTGCCACAGGCTCCATCACCAACAATCACCAGTTTCTTCCTGACGGCAGCCATGGCTTACAAATGCCCTGCAGGATGCATGGCCTGGGTGGCAGAGGTTGTACAAAGTACCTTGAACTTCTGAGATGAAAGGCTCGCTCGGGCGACGACTCCCAGTCTTGCCTCTCCCTGCAGAGGACTCCCGTCCGCCGGTCGCAAGCTGGGAGACGAGAGCCGGTAGCAGAAGACCTGACCGGACCGCGGACTAACGGGAGAACCAACGGAGGACGGCAGGCGGGGAGCGCGCGAGCCAAGATCAAACTCTCAACACAAGGATTGTCGTGCTCTGAACTTTCAGGGAAAATGACAGGTTGTCTGAACTTACCCGAGAAGATACAGTAAGTAGGGTTTCCTGACTTCACTCCGAATAGTTTGGCAGTCTGTGCCTTTGAGGAATATCGCAGCATCTTATTATCCAAATAGCCTTTGACTCGATGCCAGGGTGATCTGATTCAAGTTATTGTGATGAAAGGGGCCTTGAGCTTCTGACAGAACAGACGAGTTTTAAGATTTGGGGAACATAATAAAATGGTTTTGACTATGAAAGGAGGCAATAACCTCCCTGCTTTAGAAAAAGCAACTTTAAGAAAAGCAACAGTACAAAGACCCAAGAAGGTGAGATATACCCACTTTAGTATTCAGGTGTGCAGTGCTGTAAGGACAGTGCCCTACAGCAGATCTCTAGAACTTACTCAGCTTGCTTAGCCAAAACTTTATGCCTGATGATTAGCAACGCCCTCATTCTTCTCACCCCAGCCCCCAATTCTACTCTCTGACTTTCACTATTTCCAATACTTAAGAAGTGGTTAAATGTGTAATTCAAAATGAAAAAAATAAATAAATAAATGGCACTTGTTTGTAGCCCATCAAGCTCTAATGACCCTATATATCAAACAAAAAAAGTTCTATGTTGATCAACCAGTCTTCCTCTGATGCAGAAAATAGCACAGCCAGTAGAAAAGGAAAGAGAATTCCTTTAAAAATATAATTGATATAGGCATTATTTTTCTATTATTAAGATGGAAACATCTTCTCAAAACCATTGAACAATGGAAAATCAAAATAAAAGAATCTGTTCTTGGAAAGGGAAAAATTTGTCTTTCATTTTAAAACAGTTATTGGGTAGCACTTGGGGAAAGGCTCTGAAAATGTTACTTACATTAGCACTCAAGCAGAAAATCAACTTTTATTAGGAAGGTAAGGAGTGTCTTGGGGGCAAATTCACCCAAGACTCACAGCGCATTGCATAAACATAACTAATGAGACAAGAAATATTTTTGCAATAAAATGTAGGAAAAATGCTTTTGCTGCTTTACAGATATTAAAAACTGCATTTCATGCCTTTGGGACCGGTAGCCAGTTGGATAGGCTATTTTAAAAACAGAACCTATAAGAACTGTATTTCTAGATCTCTGCCATGTAGCAAGTCCATCTAAATAACACTGAGAAGCCAGATGAACAAAATCATATATATTAATTCATATGTTAGTAATGAAGACATTATTAAGGTATTAAGTAAGAGGAATACTTTAAAACCCTTTGCATTTTTTTTCTAAATTTGACACCTTAGGACCAGCCTTTCTGTTATAAAGAACCTGTGACTTTTGCCGTCTTTTGCCGTCACATTTCCTCTCAGTTTACCAAAATGTTATCATCCAAATGTTACAAGTTTTACCTCATTGGAGGCAAGGTTTGAATTTGGCTGTTCCTACTTTCAGTGCTCACAGCGCTACTATTGATATGCTACCCTCTCTCTCTGTGTGTTCTTTCCCTCAACCCCTCTCCTTCCCTTCTCCCATTCTCCTGCCATTCTCCATGTCTATAGCCCTTCTCCACCTAACATATTAAAATGTGCTTATGATGCATATCATTTTCTCAGGGGACTACAAAAGGACTTTTTTTGACTTAATCCACTAGTTCATTTTAAAGTCAAAATATTCCCCATAGCAGAACAAGTCATTGGAGAGGTACTTTGGATTCTAGCCATAGGATAGAGAAGATAAACGGGGAAAGCACATTACTCAAATAAATGTGAACATGAAAGGTGCTACTTAATTTTCCTGACCTAAGGACATCACTACCACTACTTAAAAACAGGAAGATCCACAAATGGATAAGGTAGAAAAAATATTGCCAATTACTTCCCAACTCCAATAAGGGGTTGGTGTTGGGGTGGAATTGACTTATATAATTCATGATACTTTATTACCAGCTATCAAGGCATTGGACATGCCTATAAATTCAACAATGATAATCTTGTTGGCCAAAGTTCTTTGACTTGATCTAACTTAATATATTTTTTGGAAAACACTTCTAAGAAATTATAGAATATGTATATACATCTAAGGAAAATAATAAATTAGTTATTGGATAATAATTCATTAACTCATTGTCCAAATTCTTGAATGCTTGGAACATCATTTTCCTGTTTATTTATGATAATGATTTTTTCAGTTATTTTTCTCCTGTTATTAAAAATAAGAAGACAACAGCATATCAATTGTTAAGAAGTACACATATACTTTCAAATGATGTACACTGGGTAAATGATATTATAAATTCATAGCCTTAGATTGTGAGGCTAATATAATTTTCCAGAAAATGTTGTAACTTTTTAATAGCCATTTAATTGAAATGGAATATACATATAGACTCATACACAAATCATGAGTCAGAGCTTAATATTAATAAAATTTTCACAAAATGAAACCACTTTGTACTCAACAAAAAATCATTACTATTATCCCCAAATCTTCTTCATGCCCTCCCTAGTAATTGTACTTCTTTTCCCAAAAGGTAATCACTACCCTTAATTTTATTTGTAAGACCTATTTTATATATTTTAAACTATATATAAACGGAGCATCATAATGGCATATAATATTTCACATCTAGCTTCTTTTCTTTACATCAAGTCTGTGAGATTCACTTATATTATCATATGTACCAATCTTTTTGTTTCATTGCTACATTATGTTGCATTGTTTGACTAAAATACAGTTTTTCCATTTTACTAATATTAACTTTCAGATTGTTACCATTTAGTGGCCATTATAAATAACAGTATTATGAAAATTATTACAAATTTCTTTTCATGCTCATTCAATTGAGCATATACCCATGAGTGAGATTTTTGTCATCATAGGGGGTATGTTCAGCTTTAGCAGATATGACAGTACTATTAATTATTTTTTCTCAGTTGTTGTACTAATTTACACTTCCACCAAAAGTGTTTGAGAATTGTAATTGTTCCACATCCTTGCCTATTACTGTCAGTCTTTTCTATTTTGTCCACACCTGGTACTTTCAACTTGCATTTATTAATATGTAAAAATTATCCTTTTAAATTTTACCAGAACCTCAAAATATTCTTTCTTTGCTCCTTTCTTATTGCAGTTCAGGTTTCGGGAAGTTAAATTTAAATCATTTAAAATTTATCTATGAGCCTAGACTTGGGAAGCCCTGTAAAAAAAGCATTAAAGGAATATAAGGTAGGACTCTGGTTCTCCAATAGTTTAGAGTCAATTTAAATAAAAAATGAATGCCAAAAAGGAGAATAATGATAGGAAAGTGTAGGTTTATAGTCATGAAAGATCTCAAGTCAGGTGTGTCTTCTGCAGTCTGTAAGATTTTCATGATTTGGTTATAGATCTAAAACCTTAGTGTATAACTTATCCCAAGCTGATCATATTCTGAAGTTCCTACAAGAATAATTTGAACATTAAATTCATTCTAATAATTTGCAAAGGGAAATATTTGTTTCTTATATATTCTTATAGAAAACTGAACCAAGGTCAATAATAAGTTATTTGGTTAACAGGTTTTTTGCTGTCTTTGAAGATGTCAATATATTCTTTCTTTTAATGTCATTCAACTAATTTGTAATGCAATTGCTTCACTTTTCTTCAAAATGAATGAAAATCCAGATAGTTATTCCCAATATAATTTGAAATAGGTACTCTCTTACTATTTTTCTCCTGAAGAGCAAGATCTCAACATGCTAAATATGTGGTAGTTCAGCAGGAGATGCTGAATGTTCTTTGTGGATCTTCTCTAGTAGACTAGAAGTAATCAAGGGCATCTCAAATCAGGGTTTCCCGGGAGACTACAATGTGTCCTATGTCCCACCACCTACATTGCCAAGAAACTGCTTTTCTTCCTCTTCTGTCTTGCCTCAGGCTAAGAAATAAATCCCTAGGTAAAACTAACTCCATATTCAACATCATCATCCTATCCATTCTCTATCTATGTGACTCTGATCTTTCCCTTCTTGTGACCTCCAGACAAGTGGTCCTTGCATTCCTATATTCCTATCTACTCCTGATAATTTGAATCTTCTGCCACCACTATGTGGGAGTGTTCTTTACCATGTGGAGGCCTCCATTGTCACCTTTTTGCCATCCATCATTGTTTCTGGAAAATATCTGCATATCTTTAAATAGTTAGCAAGTAGAGAGGGCAACCCCATTTAGATGTAAGCCAACAGCTACAGTTTAACTTTTCATTGAACAGTGTCTGGTCTCTTTGTCTCAGTGGGGCTTATACATTTATCAAAACCCATAGAATATACAACACCAAGAGTGTACCCTAATGTAAGCAATAGTCTTTGGGTGATAATGGTGTGTTAATGTAGATTCATCAATTGCGGTAAATGTACCACTCTAGGTGGGGGATATTGATAATAGAGGAAGCTATGCATGTGTGGGATCAGGGGATATAAGGGAAATCTCCACACCTTCCTCTCAATTCTGCTGTGAACTTAAAACTACTCTTTAAAAAAGTCTGTTTAAAAAATAAGATGCAAAGACATGCTCCATCTAGAGCTCCTGGGGAATTGATGAGTCTTGCTACTTAATTCTTGGATTCACTACCAAAAAGCCCCTTGAAGTAAAAAATCACTTATTTCAATATCTGGTAATAATTTGGATTCAGTCTTCTGAATTATTTGATTTTTCACTTATTTGGTTATAAGCTCAGGGAGGAAAAGTGATACCTATATGGCCTTCTCAGAAATTTCAGCATACAGACTGTACTGTTTGCATTCTCCATTTTGTACAACTTTCATATTTACTAAAGTTAATATATGTCTATTTTTCCTATGCTAGGAACCCTATTTTAACTCAATATGAAAACTCTGTGACCTAGTTGTAAAACTGACCTCAATATATACAGACATTTTGGGTACCTTTTTCATTCCTCATATTATAATTGAAGT